ACCGTGGTAGGTAGTATCTACCTTTAACACAAAGTAACAGAACAATACAAAATAATAACTGATAAAAATAAGTATGACGTATTCCTAATCTTAAATTTTTAAATGGGTACGTTAACGTCGTGGGGATAAGTTACACGCAAGCCGCAAGTATCCTACAAGTGACAGTAATAGTCTATTAATTATAATATGACATTATGACGATAAGTTTTTATAGCTATTTGATTATTATTATTATACCTTGGATTTAAGTGATATCGTATTTATTACTTTCAACTTCTGGTCTTTATATTTGATAAGTATTATTATGACCAGTGCCGAAATCGCCTTCAGTGGGGCGAACTGTACGACATCCTGACAAATGGGTATAATAAAATAAATTTGGGGGCTAGCTGTAGTTTACTATGCAGTGTACTTGGTGACTTGATTTGAAAAGGGTTTTACGCCGAGGCATAAAAATCCTGATAGCTGCGGTACTACGGACGAGGTATATCACATTTACACACAAACACCTACTCAAACCACTCAACTTTGAGCAGCTATATCTCATCAACGGATTAACGAAAAATGAAAATTTGAACGTAATAATTAATGAAAAAAATAGTTTTATTCAATTATGAAATTTTAAGTATAGGTTACCATTTGAAAATCAAAAGTTGATGGTGGTTTACCTAATAAATATAAGGGTGAAAAATATAAAAAAAATATACAATTCTAGAACAGCGTAAATCTACAATTTTGAAAAAATTCAATACTTTTTCAAATAATGAGTGTTGTTTGATAAAATAATCACCCTGTATAATCAATAAAACCACATTTCTATCACAATACCTACTTGAGAATAATATAATCTATGAAAATAAGATCAAATTTTTTACCAACATTCATTTTTATAAGAACATTATTTACACAATTTAAAATTACAATATTATAAATCTAAAATGTATCTATTATTACAATGTTTATTATAAAATAATTCTATAACAATTAATAATTGAAAAAAACATGACTTAAAATTTTTAATTTTTCAATCTTAGCTAATTTAGATGTTGTTGCATATAGTTGAGTTTTTTAAAATATTTTACA